TTTAAATGACAAGGTTAGATATCACAAAAAGAGTTTAACAATTTGGCCACCAGTAACAAAAATGACAGCAAGCTGCGTTTCAATTACATTATAAACATGTACAAGTAAAGGTCAGCAAGAACTGGTGACATTTATATATATATATTATGGGATCTTTCCTTTGACATTACATGAATGTATGTCCATGTTTGAAAATATATTCATCATGTTTTGAGGAGTGGGACAAATTTGTGAAACCAACAGTTACCTTCTTTGTTGAAGTTATGTAACAAAACACTAGTTTTTCTAGCACATGAAGGAATGGGTGTTGGTTTTTAAAGTTTTTGAACTATTCAGAAATGTATGCATCATCAATAAACATTCCGGGAAAATATAGTTCTTAAAGTTACTGTATAAATGTTGGACATTAACTAGAAATTTTGGTTTAGCACTTTTCTGAAAGAGCAGGTTTTTTTTTTTTTTTAAGATGGACTTAGCCTCTGTAAGCTGGGAGTCAGATTAGCATGTGCAAAGGAAGGGTGTAGGAGAAAGGAGAAGATGCACTGGCTGGCTCCATTCCATTTACTCCATGCCCTTCCCCTATACCTGAAACCTGTTAATTGGATTAATAGTTCCCTCTACCTCAGGGATCCCCAAACCCTGGTCCGTGGATTGGCACCGAGCCGCAGCATGCCAAAAACAGGGCCGCAGAAACAAGCAAAGCCCCATCTGCGAGATGCAGGCAGCATGCAAAACCATGCCCCCTTCAGTCCACAGAAAAACCTCTTTCTATGGAACTGGTCCCTGGTGCTCAAAAGATTGGGGCCACTGCTCTACCCCACTTCCTGTCTCTGATTTGCTTTCTGTCTTTCTTGCTTGTAGCCTCTTGGCTTCTCGGTTGTATTCCATCTTGCTGCTAATATCTGCCTTTCATTTGCCTTTCTCACACTCTCTCACTCTCATCCATCTTGTCTTTTGTCTTCCCCCCTCTCTCTCTCAGTCTTGCTCATTCTTCAGATCATTCAAAAGATCAGCACTTTTATTTTTTAAACACAAAGATAGTGCTCTTTCAAATGAATTAATGTAATGTCCGAGAAACACTTCAGAAAGTATGTGTGTTAGACATTACATGAGTCGATGCCTCTGGGCTAGCCAGGTGCCTGGTCATTTCTCATGGAGAACAAGGAAGATGACCTTGATGAAGACTGGCCAAATTCATTATCAAAGAGATGAGGGGAAAACATGACTTAAATCCAAAACAAGCAGACGGAATGGGAAAGCAGCTCAGGAGGAGACTTCTCTAATTTACATAAGTATAGAGGAGGGGGACTAAAGCATAATTGGACTTGCAAAAATAACAGAATAATAGAGTTGGAAGGGACCTTGGAGGTCTTCTAGTCCAATCCTCTGCTCTAGCAGGAGACCCTATACCATTTCAGACAAATGGTTGTCCAATCTCTTCTTAAAAACTTCCAGTGATGGAGCATCCACAACTTCTGAAAGCAAGCCATTCGATTGGTCAATTGTTCTAGCCATCAGGAAATTTCTCCTTATTTCTAGGTTGGTTTTCTCTTTGATTAGTTTCCATCTGTCGCTCCTTGTTCTGCCTTCCCTTACTATGGCCAATCTTTTTTTTATTTTATTTTATTTTTAACCAACAAAACAAAACAAAGCAAAACATAACACACATACACACACAGTATATACTCCTCCCCCCTTTTTTAACAGCAATTATGTAACGGTAATCTTCTATTATTTACATTTCCCCCCTTATTCTTCTTTAGAATATTTGTCCTTATTGCCCCGTTGTTTCTTATTTACATTTTTCTTCCTTCATATTCTACTTCTTACTAAGAATAATTCATATTATTATTATTATACATTATTATACACATATTTTCACTTTTGACCTTTCCATATTTATTCTCCTCTATTATTTCTAGTCTCCAACCAGTCATACCACTTGTTCCATATTAGATAGTACTCTGTGACTTCCTTTTCTTTTATCTCTTTATGGCCAATCTTAATACAAGTAATTCTAGCCTTCTTATGAAGTTTATTTCTTAGTCTGGTTTATGCAGTAGGGTGAACAGTTCAGCAGCCTAAGCCAAAATGGCCATGTACAATAAAGTGGAGGGGAGTTGGGAGGACTTATACATTTTAAAATGACCAATAAAAGCTGAGCAGTGTCAATGATAGATTCTAGATTGTGTTGATTGCAACAGTTGGATAGGGAGAAGACGAAAAACACTATTTTAAAATTGGAACAGATGGAAAAGATCTATTCTTCTGTTGTGGATTGGTATCGGGAAGAAGGCAACTTCATGAGGACATGTCATTTAAAATTATTACAACTGGAGCCTTTCACAATACTAATTAGGTTGGAACTTTTGCAAGGTTATTCAAAGGTTTATGTCTTCAGGCTGTCCAAACATGAAATTATACTTAATAATTAATAACCAATCAATACATGTTATTAAATGGTATTTAAAACTAATTATATGCAAGGCAATCAGTAAGCAGCTGACAACTTACAGTGAATTTAGCACAAAGAATATGTGAGGGAAGCAATCAGGTAAGAAGCAGTAAATAATCTACCGAGAATTTAATACATTCAGTTCAGTGGGAGAAAAACAAAGGCTGAATTCAAAAATAAAAAGCTGGTTAACTTTGATGAAGCATGCACAGAGTTCAGCTATAGCTGCAGAAAGCAATAAATAAATAAATATGTAATGTCTTGCTGCAGCAACTAAGGAGAAAAGATTTCAAATGTCTTGTCACTCAGATAAGGGTAAAACATTCCCACACACATGCACACCTTTTGAGCAAGTTGTGGGACACAGCTTAACTTGGCAAAGAAAAAAAAGGTTGCCTTCTTGGTAACTAAAGTGGAAAAGGATTTCTGGTTTAAGAAGCAGGAAACAGTGGCTTTTCTTTTGCTGCGATGGAATATATTTGCTGGCTTGCGATGGAGACACGTTAGCTTCTTTCTGATTCAGAAGGAAATAAAACTAGGAAAAAGAGTTGTTTAACTGAAGAAGAATTCCTCCTCCACCACCCTGAATACTATATTTGAGAAACATTTTTATACTTTTCTTGGGCAAATTTTAGCAACTTGAAATAAACCAAAACCAACTTCCCACCTAGGATTTGAAAAATAAATATTAAATGAAAAGTCGAAAGGGGAGGGAATGATTTTTTTCCCTCCCTTCTTTTGCCTGGACTGAAAGGGAGAGGGAAAAGAATGGCGATTCTTTAAGATGATGATTGGTGAGAGGCAGGAAATTGTTCGGAATGACCCCCAAACAAATGGTACTGTTCGATCAACAGCAGCTGGAGATGATAAATTGAACTACGGGATTATCAATCATCTAATGACTCTATAGACTTTTTTCATGTTTGGCATCAAAATATTATAACTATTTAGCTAGTTACAAATCTTACTTAATAACTACAGGGAATCCTTAACTTACAGCCAACAATTGGGACCAAAATTTCTGTTGCTAAGCAAGGCAGTTATCAAGTGAGTCATGGCCTTTTCTGCCATTTTGAGTGATCACTAAACAAATGGTTGTAAGTTGAGAACTACCTGTAGTACAGTTTTTGCCCCCTGAGCATATCTTCAAATCGACAAATGTCACTCAAAGGATAGGAAAAAAAAAACTTTCAGGAAAGCAGGTAAGGACAGAGAATCCTGGGAATCCTTGCCAAAGCTTTGTATTTTTTGCCAAGCAAAATGGAGCCTCTCTTTTAAATTGCTGTCAATCTTTACCCAATGTATCTGGAAGCTTCCTGCCAAATTCCCTTTCTAAAAATCTCTCTCTACAACAAGAGAGAGCTAATGCTATGCCCGAGAAGTAGCTTTCAGCAAGACCTCATTAGTTTGGCTAAAATATTATGGGCTATCACTGTCTCCATTCCTATTTCTTTAATCTTTTCTTGCTGAAGGAAAGTACATAAGTAAGGGTAGATAGAAACATGCATCAGTTTGGGAATATTAAAGGAATATTGGAAGGATGGTGAAAGACCATCTTTAGAACGAGGTTAAAAAAATGAATTTAAAATTACAAAAACACAACAAAAAAGGCATATGTTTAAAAGTCATATGATAGAAGATGCAGGGCTATACAATAATATATAATGGAGTCTAGCAGCATCAGCTTTGGTTAAAAACTTTTCCTCTGGGCATGAAGAAAGGATTGGGCAGAGAATGTTTAATTCCTTATATTTAATGCATGCAAATATCTTTCTGTAGATCTTCCACTGTCTTTTAATACTATAATTCAATCATCAGCTATGCAAATAGGGAGGTTGAGAGGATATTTAAATAGACTTTGGGAGGGGCTTCAAATTTCTTCCTTTTCATTTTATTCCTGGCTTTGCCACAGTCAAACCCTGAACTGAACTGGGGTACTCTCTAGAAAGAGCAAATCATCCTTGCGCTGCAATTAGATGGAGGTGAGGATAAATGCAAAATAAACCCACATTGCCTAATCTTGTCACTGAATCCAGTGTTTGAATGTACAATATTTATTTCTTAGTATATTCTGTGTTTCATTCAGGAGTTTGAGGCAACCTACATAATACTCCCTCTTCTTCTCCACAAGAAGCCAGTAAGGTAGGATGAACTGAAAGAGTGAAGAGTGAATTTCATGTGTATCACATGTGTATATAGTGGAGACAGTAGGAGACAAGGGCAAAGTAGATTTGGCTCAATTTATGGTAGCAGTGTATGGCTTTGCCCCAGATACCATTTCTGAAAGATTACAAATAAGAAGCTGTCAGTGAGAATTTCCCTTGTAATATTTCCACATGTGTTGCTGGTTGGAAGGGGCTTGAACAATATACCACCCACTTCACAATATTGAAGGGGGGGGGTCGGGGAGGGAGAATTGCTTTTCTTATTAGAAACACCCCGATAATATTATTAGACCAGGCCTCGCTTCACCCAATGCCCCCAAACAGCTTTAAGTAACTAGATATCCCGCAGTTGGGGCATCGCAAGCAAATGGGCGGTGAGAGTCGATGGGGGTGAGGGAGGGGAGGAATCTGGGGTGACTCCGGAGGATGGATTGACGGTATAGATATATAAGCGCTCCGCTGATCGAATAAGAAGTGCCGGAGAAAGCAATGCGGTGGAAGGCCAAGCTGTGGTGGGACTCGGGGGCTATTATTGGAAAACTGCTCTTCCCCCCCCCCTCCCGCGCTGTTCCGCCGAGGCGTCCTCCTCCCCGCACCACAAACCCAGCCTCCGGAGCCAGAGAGGAAAGATCGGGCTGGGTAACAACAATGCGAGGGGCTCGGGCGGGGGATTTGATCTGAAGTAACTTGCCCCGGCGGCTGCCGCCCAGGGAGCCTTGATTGACGTAGACCTGCTGGAAGCGGCGCATCCATCACCAGGCTGAGCCACAGCAGAAGTCACCGGCCGCTCCTGCAGGAACACAAAGGCGGGCGGGTAGCGGGGAAGCTCTTGACTACCGCCGGCCGCCCAGCTTCACCTTTCCTCTGGCAGTAGCTCTGCGTCCCCCGAAGAGAGCGGCGAGGAGGACACGCCGCCTCCACGCCCTGGTGCCTGGACAACCATTGCAGAAGAGGGAAGGGGGCAGCGGACGGGAGAGAAGAAGGGAGCCCTGAGCCCACAGGCCCGTCCTTGATTGATTGGCTGTTCCTTTTTGACCGCCGCTGCCTCCCATCCAAAGGAGTTGCTGTCTTGGCTGATGGATGCCGGAAGGTGCCGCATTGCCTGGTGTATGTTTGTTGGCTGCTTGGCTGGTAGGCATTACTTGGCTGTTCCTTTTTGTCTCTGAATGCCTTTCTTCCGGCGGAGGCTGGGATCCCTGCGAGGCGAAAAGACCTGCTCCATCAGTGAGTGAAAAGGACCCAGATTTCACCCCCGGCCTCTCCCCGCTCTCTCCCCCCCCTTTTTTTTTCTAGAGGCGACGGAGAGGGACAGACGGCAGCCTTGCTGGTACTAGATGAGGTCACTGTGTAAGTGGGCAGGGGGAGTGAAAGACGCGGTAGAGGAATACATCCCCTGCTTTGGAGATTAAAAAGCTTGGGGGTATCAGAAGAAGCAGCTAATTGATTAAAAAATAATAATAATCCAACTTATCCAGCTGATCAGCACATGCCTCTTGAACCCCTACCACAAATTGGTTTTTAAATGCTATTCAGGAATTGTTCAGAGAGAGTGAGGGAGGCAGAAAAAACACCTTTATTGAAAGCTTGGTATTAGGTCGTATTTATTGAAATTGCAGTTCTTTAGCTATTTCAGCAGTGCCAAGGTGAAGATCTCTAATTTGCAGGGAGAAGTGGGTGGAAATATTAGAGTGTGCCTGTGGTGGAGGAATTAATTACCTCAACCTCTTCTGCACTCCCGGCAAAGTCACTGGCTGTTTGGCCTTGTTCTCTCTGGCATCATAATGCTGATCTGTATCTGCTGATCAAGGCATTTTATTTTAGTGCTGTTTTTTTTTCCCTTCACCCAATTGTTTAAATCACTATTGAATGGGAAGGAGGACGCCCGTTCTCTCTGCTTGGGCCCTGTCAGAGCCATTATTTCTAGTCATCAACAGGCAATTGCTGCAGAAGAAGAATAATTGGGCTCAACTAAACGTGAGTTATAGTTTTCCTGCAGCTTCAAGCTGTGGACAGGTGTTGGAAGGCTGGGATTTGGGGCTGAGAAAGGAGAGCAGAGCAACAGCATTGTGTGTGTCTGTGTAGTTAATTGGGAGATGGAAAGGGCAGATTGGAATTGAGGTGCATATATTAATTGAACTATATTAGACATTAGTGTTGGAGAGATTGGTAGCAAAGAATTACCTAACTTGTTGGATACTAGAAATGGAAGGGAGGGTTTCATAAATCAAAACCAAGAGACTGAATTTCAAGCTTTGTGGCAGTTTGGAGGTTCCACCCCTTCTTCTGTGCAAGAAGAACCATTATCGGACGAAGCGGCACAATGACTCATTTGCAGGCAGGCCTGTCTCCAGAGACTCTGGAGAAGGCCCGATTGGAACTGAATGAGAACCCAGACACTCTGCACCAAGACATCCAGGAAGTTCGGGACATGGTGATCACCCGACCCGACATTGGCTTTCTTCGCACAGATGATGCCTTTATTCTTCGCTTCCTGAGGGCCAGAAAGTTCCAGCATTTTGAAGCATTTCGCTTGTTGGCCCAATACTTTGAGTATCGTCAGCAGAACCTTGATATGTTCAAGAGCTTCAAAGCCACTGATCCAGGCATCAAGCAAGCACTCAAGGATGGCTTCCCCGGAGGGTTGGCCAACCTTGATCATTATGGCAGGAAGATCCTGGTACTATTTGCTGCCAACTGGGACCAAAGCAGGTAAAGATTTTAACTCATGGGGGGAAGGTGGGATAGGCTAAGTTGCTCATCTGAATCCACCATGGTGCTGCAGGCTATATGTTGGATGTCATCATAATGGGTTCAAATCCCCTTTGGTTTAAGTGATATTCCATTCCAAACTTATGATAGGAATGGCATAAGAATCTTTATTCTTATATTGGCTCCTGCACATTAGAAACTTTGATTCTAATGTGCAGGAATGAAATTGTTTTTTTAATTCAGCGGAAGGAGCTAGATTAATTTTTAAAAAGCTCTTCCCAAACTTGAAATTCTATGATGGAAAAAAAAATAATGTGCAGAGATTAGGTGTGCCTATAGAGCAGGGGTCTTCAAACTTGGCCCTTTCATGACTTGTGGACTTCAACTCCCAGAATTCCTCAGCCAAGCACGCCAAGTTTGAAGACCCCTGCAGTAGAGCTTCGATTATAAGATAATGGTGAAAACAATGAATGGAAACTGATGGCTCAAGGTAGCTTGCTACTTGGAATGAAATGGTAAATATGGTAAAAATGGTAAATCCCTCTAGCTCCCCATCAAGGGGGGGAGAGAGATTTGTTTCTCATGAGTGACTAATCAGAAGTTTATTCTCAATTACTCTTTCTTGGATCCTGAACAGAAGGTGCTAATGCAATTAGCAATTTGTCCCCTGACCTGGTTTGCCAATTTATTTATTAAAAATCTTTCTAACTTGCCCTAGGTCCAACTGATTCCAGGTTAATAGACAACAACAACAATAACAAAATATTGAAACAAAAGTACAAGTACAAAAAAAAAAACACAATGGCAATGGCAAATTAAAAGACAACCAAGGATAAAATTGGCAGGCAAACTAAGGCAATGGACACCCTCAAAACCTAATTGTAATTTAAGGTTTTAATGCTGGTGCCAGTTGTGTACCTCTGAAAAGTTCATTTTTGGATTAGTTATTTATATATCATTTAGAGCTGCCCATCTCCTTCATAGAGTGACTCTGGGTGGTGAATAAACAGTCAAAAATATTTTAAAAAACCTATATATAAACATTATGTTAAAAATAGTTAAAAATAAGAATAAAATAATTAAAATTTGAAAGGCAAAGGAAGGACTTCAGAGCGCTAACCAGCCCCAAGGCTGGGTGTTCCTCTGTCATTCCCAAGCAAGTTGGCAGAACTAGCTCTTCAAGCATTTCCAAAAGGCCAAGAGAGGGAGGGGGCACCTCGCCTCTGGGGGAAGAATGTTCCAAAGGGCAGGGGCAATGGCAGAGAAGGCCATTCTTGAAATTTTTAAACTGATGGGATCTGCAGCATACCTTCCTTGCCTAACTGAGTGGGATGAGCCAAAGTAATGAGCCAAAGATGACTTGTCAGGTAATCTGGCCTGTATAGGGCTTTAAAGGCCCTAACCAACATCTTGAATTGGATCTGGAAGCAAACAGGCACCCAATGCAGCTTTCACAGCAGAGGTGTTACATGCACCATCCTTGGGAAGCCCAACATTGCTGATGTGGTCCTGATCTGTATCAACTAAAGTCTACAGATACTTTTCAAGGGTAGACCCATGTAGAGCACATTGCAGTATTCCAGACAGGAATTAACCAGGGTGTGAATGACAGAGCAAAGGGCTTCTTTATTGAGGAAGGGCCATAACGGATGCACAACATGCAGTTGAGCAAAGGCCCTCCAAGCCACAATTGCCATCTGCTCTTCAAGCAAGAGCTGTGAGTACAGGAGGACCCCGAGATTATACATCAGGTCTGTCTGGGTAGTGCAATTCCATCTAAGACCAAAGATGATAAACTCCCAGATGCAGAGGGCTCCTCATCTATAGCCACTCCATCTTACCAGGGTCCTGCTGAAGTCTCTGGTTCCCTATCCAGGGCCCCACAGCTTCCAGGCATCCCAGTTTAGGCCTCGGCCACCGAGGCAAGAATAATGCAGGAGAAATAATATTTTGGCAATGTTGTTACCCATGTTGATGTTTTCTACTATTCCAAATGAACTAGGTTTCCCAAGGTTTAGCAACACCTATAAAATTTAAAGGCAAATTTATGTTTCTTCTTTCTTGGCAGATTCAGCATCCGTTTCTTTACCAGAAGCAGGAATATTAATATAAAAGAACTTATCTATGAAACAGGAAAGTGATATGTTCAAACCTGCTTTGACAAAATTTCTATTAATTTTAATGTCCTTCCAGTTTATCCTAGTAACATGATGCCTTTTGTGAATGTTATAAAGCCTAAGGTCTGTCCAATATTGAGTTAAAGAGTTCTGATTCATGAAGAAGACTTTTATGCCATCCTATTCTCACTTCTTATTGATATATTTTATTTTATTTTCATTGACAGTTCCTTGAAGGAGTTCAAGGCAGTAGACATGGTTCTCCTCTTTTATCTTTTACAATAGTCTCTTGAAGTGGGTAAGCACTTGAGGATGGCTCAAGGTAGCTTGCTACTTGAAGTGAAATGGTAAATATCATGTTTTCCCACTAGCTCCCCATCAAGGAACACAGCAACCCAGAGTGATTGAGTTAATTGGGTATTTGTGGGCCACAGTGGCTTGTTTCTTTCTTCTGAGAGGTCAATACAATCATAATAAATTAAATGCAGTAACTAACAAACCATATGCTGTCTTTCTTATTAAAAAAAGTCATTACCTGAAAGGATTGCCTGGAGTACCTACAATAGATACAATCTTGGAAGACTGAAAGAAAATGAATGCCTCACTTAGGGGTTTCATTATTGGATAGGGAAGCAAGGAAAATTTGAATGATGCAGTGAGATAACCTGCCCCTTTTGGACTGTATTGTGATGTCACATGCACAGACAATAGGGATGGAGTTTATGGCACAAGGCCACAATGTTGCTTTCATAATTCTGACATCCCTTGGCCTCATATCCAATGAAGAAAGTTTCATCATTCTAGTGAAAATACCAAGGTCCAGTGGGTGTGGCTCTGACTGGAGTAGTGATTTGAAACTAGGATGTTCTGATCTTATAGTGTTTACACTGCTCAGATTAAAATTTGTTCTACTGTATCTGCACACAATCTAGATGCTTCTTTATAGAACAGTTGTTCTTTTCTTTTGACTATGCCTTATTTTATATCAGCATAGCATGGCCACTGGATGACCTGAATAGTGTATGAGTTCAAAAATAGGGTTCCACCTCCTCTGAGCTCCACTGAAGTTGGAATCAGAATTAATTACCTAGATGCTCAACTTCAGACACTGCAATTCCTACACGGTAACAGGGTAAAACACATGGTATAAAATTAACTGTTGAATTGAACCTTTTCCTAATGTAATCATTTTGCTCAATGGAATATGACTGGGCTGCTATTGTATGAAGGGCAAGAAACCGTTGCTGACAGAATGTTAGTAGTTTGCACAAGTGTTGCACTCCCTTTGTACTTTTGATCTAGTTTCTTAAAAACAACAAGAACCATGTCTCAGAGGCACAGAGTCTGCCAATGAAGTATCTTAAAACTGATTAAGTGCCATCAAGTTGGTGTTGACCCTTAGTGACCACATGGACCATCCATTATGATCTATCCCTGGCCTGGTCTTTCATATTTTCCAGTGATGTACACATTGCAGCTATAACTATCTTAAAATATATTGATACATTCCAATGGTGGGATTCAGCCAGTTTGCACCAGTTCGGCAGAACCAGTAGCTAATTTTGTGTTGCCCAGGCCCAGAATGGACTTCCGGAAGCGGCATCCACATAGAGAACCAGTTGTTCACATATTTGAATCCCACCACTGATGCATTCCCACTAAAACAGTCTGCTAAAACATAGTTCAGTCAGGATCAAGAGAAAGGATTAAAAACAGAAAAAAAAACCAAAAACAAAACAAATAAACAAAAAGCTCATAGCAGGGAAGTGAACTATCAACTCCAAGCAATGTCATTAGACCTGTAGTCCTGCCAACATTAGTCTGATTTCTACAGCATTTAGATTTCTTCCTCATGCTGATCCTATATCTGTTATGGAATATTAGATAGGTTAAATCAGAGACTGTATCATGTTGGCTTATTCCTCTGGAACGTCTCCTTTGCTGTGGATGGATACGCTTTAGTAATGCATTTTCAAAGAAGAGGTCAGGTCTATATATGTTAGAGCTTTGCCTCCTTATCTCACCTGCTTGCACTGACATAACTCCCTCCTTTTTTCTGCATAAGTTGGGATAGCTCAGATGTTTCAGTTCCATCAGTTAACTTTTCCCAGACTTTTCATGTCTAAGATAAAAGAAATGTGCTTGTCTGTAAATTTATTATGCATGCCTAATTGTCTGCTGGGTCATAATTATATTGAAGTAACAGGTGATTGTAAAAGGAATAAGAACCATGATATAGACCATCTTACCACTGCCACTATCAGCTTCTCATTTGAATAAGTCCAATTAGCAAATTCCTATTCCAATTAAATTGGAAATAGATTTTGTAGAATTTTGTATGTCTCTCATACATACATACAAAAATGGCAGAACATGTCCTTGTGCCAAACATTTAAAATTCATGTTGAGTGGTAGAAAAAAAATTGTACGCTTAACATGGAAATCTATAAAAATGACACAAGGAATAGAATTCAACAGATTCCGTTTCTCTCATCAATACATCTCTATGTTCAAAAAGCATAGCAGGGAGTCTTCTAGGTTAAACAAAAATCTTACAGAAGTCCTTGTTGCTTTCTGAGCTTCGTTGTTTGCTTGCAAATGTTTTCATAATCCAATGAGGGAACATCATCAGCACAGATGATATTGCATAGTCAAGCAATAAAATATCTGCAAGGAAACAATCAAGCTCATCAAGAACTCCATAGTTCAACACTGAGCTACATATATCTTCTTTTAAAGAAATCTAAGTAGAAATCCTCACTTACCAAGACTTATGTACATAATAGTCACACAGCAGTGCTGTGCAAAGCTTTGAAGAGATGCTTTGCTCTAATCTAAACCTCTATAAGGTTATCATTACATTGTTCCTCTAACTAGCAGGTTTGGGCAATCCCACCGTTTGGACTGTCAGAATATTCTTAAGCAAGGCAGGCAGTTTGGGCAGAACAGCCCTTTCTTGAATTTTCTCATGGGGTCAGATGAATGTTGTTTCTGCAGTGCTGAGTACCTAAGTGCCTGAGATAGAACACACCTTCTTCACACAGCCCTATTGCAAAACCCTGAAAATATTCTACAATGTGATACATCTAGATGTTTCTCTTAATCACTTGTCCCACATGGGTGGAAAGGTCTATGCTTGCTTGTGCTATGTTTGCTTCGTTCTTATAGCGAAACTATCAATGCATGGTGCGACAAGAAATTTTGTTTATCAGTTGGTTTGTTGCAGAGAGTGACACTGATTTAGGGATGGAAGAGGAACAATTGGCCCAAAGTCACTCAGCTGACTTCAGTATTTAAGGGAAGACTAGAAACTGGTCTCCCTTGCTCCTACTGTATCACTTTAACCACCATACCATGTTGGCTGTCAGCTATCTACATCTATATACAGTAGATAGAACACAGAAAGGATAACTTAATTTAATTGAGATAAATGGTTTGACTGATGGGTAGCTGTAGCCCTGATGCTATTTCTGAAGAGTGCTACTCAGGATAATTTCTTTCACTCGTTTTCTAACCTCTTCAATTTCAGTTAAAAGTTCTATGGAAAAGTTGGCACAGGAATAGACTGTATATGGTTTAGTGGGATCAGTATCTAACTCAAAAGCCTTGCTGTTTTATTCCCTCCACGTAAAGGTTTCATTCACTGATAAGATGAATAATAACCAGGAGGACCCAGATTGTTGGGGGCAATGTAAATATATATATACATTGCTTACTGGTGTACACCGCTTAGAGAGTGCTTGCACTTAAAAGCGGTATATAAGTCTCACAAATAAATAAATAAATAAGTTCATTGAAGAATAATAATAAGGATCACTGTCTTTAGCCCCATTTCTCCACACTCCAGGAGTTCAGTGAGAAGAAGCTTTTGTGTGTCTAAAGTTGTAGATGAGCACAATTCAGACTCATGGTGCAGATCCATAAAGTTCTCCTTTCCTCTTGCTGCTGAAAGCAGGAATGCTCCTGCCTCCTATTTTTCCCACAACAATCCTGTGAGGTAGGTTGGGCTGAGACTTGATAGTGGAAATAAGTACTCTCTACTCCATTCCCAAGACTAAAGTTAAATAACACCAACACTACTACTAAAGGTGATTGATTTAAGGAAGTAAAATAATTACATTCCAAACCAACTAGATTCTGTGTTTAATCCCAGTTTGGAGCTTTTTCTGCAATTGAACAGAACTATAATCTAACAAACGCTATCTGTTAAATGTTCTCATTTTTCCATTTGTATTGACATAACCTCATACTCCATCAATATGAGTAATTCATAGCATAGTTACAGAGTTCTCTACATGCCTTTTCTGGAGTAACTTCTGCTGTTTTCAATAAGACTTATTGTGACAAATGTCTGTAAGATTGTCCCTTGATTGTATGAAATTTCATTTAAATCCACTTTGAATTTTGGAACCGAAAGAGGAACATTTTGCTTATTACTACATTTCCAGTTGGGTAATTGAATCTGTTTTGTTAAGGCATAAAGACTTTTAGAAATGGCATAAACAGAGGTTTTCTAACAGTATGAATAAATAGGGACATTAGACGCTGTAAAATAAATCACAAATCCTAGATTATTCTTTAGACATTAGAGACACACCATCAGATTTACAATGTGACCCAGGAGATGCTCTATAAAAGCTAAGTTTCACTGAAGTCAGCCGAATTTAATTTAGAGATTAATTTTGTTGATTGTTAATACTAATCTTATCTGCTACCACTTCCCTGATCAGATTTAAAGGAGGCAAAAACAGAATATAGCTCTTCTATACTATGAACATTGTGTTTTATCTAGCAATCTGTGGAGCCCACCTAGTGAGAACCTTTACGGCAACATTTTCATATGATCAGATATGGAAAAACACTGAATGCTTATTTTCAACATGCTGAAACGTAGTTGAGAAATGCAGATGAAAGAATCTTGAACCTATTTCTTAGTAAAGAAAAGAATCCCTATTGTAAAAAAAATGTTTTTAAGGATGTGAAACTGGTTAGTTTCCTAATAGGTTCCTTGTCAATATTCTCCTTTGTATTTTGTTAGGCATGGTACATGATATTTCTGAATTATAAATCTGATTGCTAATTAAAATAAATAACTGATTGACATTTTTGCAGGTGCGTAGAACTGTCAACAATCTTTATTAAGCTCAGTTTAAGTACCTGGATAAGTACAGTAGCTGGGATATATTGTGAAATAACTGTAATATCGTATGAGGAAAGAATGGAATATTAAAACGTGAGAATGGAAACATCAGATTTCTTTAGATTTTAAAATCTGAAAACTACATAAAATGAATTAAAATTTCAGCAAGTTTTAATTAGAGATGAACTGAGCTCTGGAGAAATTTTTTAAAGAACATTTACCTAATTCCTGTTTGCGTGCAATACGCTAAATCAGTGTTTCTCAACCTTGACAATTTTAAGGCATGTGGACTTCAACATTGCTGGCTGTGGAATTCTGGGAGTTGAAGTCCACATGCCTTAAAATTGTCAAGGTTGAGAAACACTGCACTAAATAAATTTGTATTTAATTTTATTTATATGCCGCCCAATCCCAAAGGACTCAGGGCGGCATACAGAGTTAAAACAATCATAAAACAATAAAACAATACAGTCATACCGCGAGTCCGATCATATCCCGGGCCCCCCCGGGGACATCAGCCCCAGGCCTGCCGGAACAGGAGAGTTTTAACGGCTTTCTTAAAGGCCGGCAGGGTGGGAGTAGTTCGAACCTCGGGGGGAAGTTGATTCCACCAGGTCGGAGCCACCGGGTCGGAGCCAGAAAAGGCCCTTCCCCGAGGGCCCGTCAATGTGCTTTTTTTCAAATTTCTGCTCCTTCCATCTATCTAGCTTACTGTAACTGATCTTGCAATTCTTTTATGACAAATTCTGATGTGGATTACTTTTTTCAATGCATAGAGAAATCTTGTTTATTGTTTAAGAACACTTTCTCTCTCCCCCACTTCCTCCTAGCAATGACTGAGCCAATTATTCAAAGGCTGACTCATACAACCACTGAAAATGTGGTTTGTCACATTTTGGAGACTCCACAGGTTTTTGCATTTGCATGTTCAGTGATGCTGAAGGTAACATAAAGACAAAGGAGAGAAGAAATCAGATTTCAAGGGAAAAAAAATAAAGCAGAGTTGCACTTAGTCATATAACTTGGTTGAGAATTTCATCCAAGTTTCATTCTGGTCATGTTCAGTGCAAAATATTCTGTTTGTATTATGGTTTTTCCCAAAGACATTCTCCTAATTTATCTAATCCTCTCCATCAACCTTCTCCACAGACTTGTTAGTTCTAAATTCGGTGTTATTCTGGGTGGATATTGATTCTGTTTATTGAACAAAATGTAATGAGTTTGAAAAAAAGAGGTATTGAGTTGCTCAGATGCTCAGCTAGATTATCTGGAACAATTATTATTATGATATGGTCTTATCTGAATAGCTGCTGTTTAACTTTCCCAATCTTAACTCTATTAAACTTAAAGAAGGCTTATATGTGTGTACTTAAATAGCTACAGTAATCATATTTCATGAAATCTTTACCACTTGAAATCTTGAAATGTTGCCTAATAATATTATTGGTTATCTTAAGGCCATCTTTGCTTTTATTTGTTGACAGATACACACTGGTGGATATTTTACGTGCCATACTTCTTTCATTAGAAGCCATGATTGAGGACCCAGAACTTCAAGTAAATGGATTTGTTTTGATTATAGACTGGAGCAATTTCACTTTCAAACAGGCTTCTAAACTGACACCAAGTATGCTTCGATTAGCCATAGAAGGCCTTCAGGTAAAATGATTTTAAGCATTATTCATATTTCTTTTACTCTTCTCGTTCCAGGCATCTCTCTCAGTTCTTCCTGACTGTCTTTAGCAATCTAACAATCTTTTTTTGCAGTTCTAACAATTGAGATTTTAGATGTCTATGTATGTTTTGGAAGTTGTGAATGAACTGTAAAGAATGAATTTGATATCTTCAACTTATAGTGCTCAAGGTTTGAAGGTCTTATTTGATTTCTCAAATTTAGGAGCTCTATGTTGTTATTAAGAGCTTGAATATAACAAAGCAAGCCAAGAAAGCAGATATACTATTGGGTCATATATCTTATGTTATTATTCTGAAGTGATGTTCTTTGTTCAGTGAGAGCTACCATCAAGTGCTATACACTGTGGAACAGTGAAACATTAAAAGACATTTATACATTGCTAGTACTCCTATTTAGGCAATACACTCATGTATAGATCTAGAAATACAAGGAGCAATGATCAACCTTTCTTAAGTCAGAAAGAATAGTATAATTATAAGACAAATTTTATGTGTTCATGTATGCACTCAGCCTTAGATCCACAGGGCAGCCCTGGAACCAGCCCTGGAACCAACCCTGGAACCAGCAAGGAACTGCCCTGCCACCTCTGTCCTGCCCCCCGAGTGTGCACACAGGATATGGCCAGTGCCGGTGTCCTGGGTGAAGTCAGCCTGCAGGGTAAGACAGCCAGCAGGGATGCCAGATTCTGCTTGCACACGCACCCAGGGGGCAGGGCAAAGCTGCCCCATGGATCTAAGGCTGAGCATGTTCTGGTTTTGATGGATGCAACCAGGTTGTAGATCACTCCCAGTCAGCCTGGGCTGGGCTGAGGTGCGGCGGACTGGTCCTTCGCTGTTTCCAGAGCAGGTCCCTGGACCATACGGAACCACATGGCTGGCCCCCGGGCCTTGTGTTTGACATGTCTGCACTAGAATATAAACTGAACACAAATCCCATTCCTTACTAGCACTGATGATGTTATCTAGTTTGGGTAAGGAAATGTCTACAAGAAAACAACCAAGCTCACAGAGCACCGAGGATCTGTCAGATATTTGTTAACTATTTTTCATTGCAACTTTCCATGCATGATGTATTTCTGAGGGCAACTTGTAACATTGGGTGATGTACAGAAGAGCGGGAATGACCATGAGTAAGACCCACTCTCAAGACAACCTTCAGATAAAAAGCGCCTCTGTTCAGGATAGGAATGTAATCTGAGAAAATGTCTCAGAAAAGCCCCTCCCTAGTTCTTATGAAGATAAAGGGAAGGAGAAGGAAACATTATTGCAAGATTTGTTACTATGGCTTCACAAAAAAAGTTGTACTAGATGATATTGGATTCCTAATCTAATCTACCCTGAAGGGATGATAGGTCTTCAGTCCATGGATAATTGAAGCCATAAACAATTTCCCTCCTTGTTGAAAAACTAATCTCTTGGCAATGATAAAGACAAGCTACCAGAGGAAGGTTAGTTGTTCATAACTAGAGTATGGTTGCCCTTTAATGAAATATGTCTCAGTTGTTAAAATTGCTCTGAACAATATGGTTCTAAATGATGAAGGTTTAACATGTTATTTAAAAACTAAAATGTAATGATGCCAGATGACTACATTGTACATTTTATTTTGGCATGATATAGTGTGAAAAACCTGATTTCCTCAACTTGGCATTCTCTAGATGTGTTGTGTTACGTTTGGATTATTTCCACACAGCAGTGGGATGATGGGAGTTATAGTTTTTTGACAGACTACCCCTGGTAGAAGAAAAACCTCCATGGTGAAACTGCAACCTTAATACACTATCCAAATATTGTAGTTTTACTGCAAGCTGCTTTTAAGGAAGAAAATGCTTCCTTCACATTTGAAGTAATGAAATATTTTAGAATTTCTGTGAGGCAAATGGTTTTTACATCTGGGTGAGCATTTATGTGTTCTTTTTTTAAATAAAGATATTTTATTGTTTTTTTTAATTCTTAAAAAAAAAGTACTCAGGACACACCGTGGTGTTTGGGTAATCAGGATGTCACAGGTTCCAACTAATGAAGCACTTCAAAGAACTTTCAGGCATGTTTCCTAAAGTCTTTATTACAGAGCTACAATTTTGCCGGTCACCATCATGGACGTATTGATGCCAGAATCTGACTTCCTCTCGCTGGCATCAATCTTTTCTTGTTAAACCCCTCCCTTGTCTTGCAGTCACAAGTCACATTATCCAATTAGTGTGAAGGTCAAAAGTTTACTTCCTCTTTCTTTCCCGGGCTTTCCCCCCCCCCCACTCTAAGCTGTGTATTAACCCAGTAATTACCAGACAGTTTTGCATATTGTCAAAGCAAGAATATACAGTATTTGCAGCATTGACACAGACACTGAAAAGTAAAAACATAAATAAACAACTCAACTTAATACATTCACTGTCCCCTCTCTATTTCCCTCAAATAACATAATACGTTTAAAATATTCCATTTCTAAATTAAATTTCTATTACTACTAAACCTGTTTTAAAACTTTATCAATTTACAATTACCATAATCAAATTTAACTTTAAATCAACAAGTTATCAATTCAGGTATCCCTTTCAGATGTATTCTAGTTCCTAAACTCTCTCATCCCTCCTTTTATCACCAATCTCATTTATTTCTTCTTCCACTACACAATAGCTATCTTAGTTAAAAAATAATGTTAAACCTTAATTAATTTCAATTCATTACACAAACTTCAAATTTTATCCAATTAATTATCATATCTCATCACATCTATGTTATTGTACAAAAAGATCATCTTACTAATTTAAAACACTCCATTAATTATTAAAACCATCCCAGTCTAAAAAATCAACATTTTTTCAATTCCAATACATAATTTTCATCAAAATAAATCTATTATTCCAAAAAGTATATTCTTAATCTATTTAAAATATCTATTCTAAAAATCACCCTCATATATATATTTCTTGCTTCTAACTCTAAATCATAATCCTTAAAACATTCCATTTTAATCTATTACACAATTTTAGATTTCTCTTTTCAGTCTAATTCTGGCTTTTTTTCTGTGCCAGGCAGGTTTCATAAAGACACTTCCCTTTCAGCCAGTAGATGCATTTTTGTTGCTTGCAGTAGCCTTTGAAAGGATAGAAATCCTTTATGTGTTCTGATACAGACCATTTGAAGAGGATTTGCCAAAATGTTCCTTGTACTTCTACAGAGCTCTGATGTAAAAAGCACTTTCACAAACATGTTTTGTGGACAGTACCCAGCAGAAAGTTACTGGATTCTGTTGATAGTGTCTTTTTTTTTTTTTTTTTTTGCAAGCAGATCAGTTTTGCCTTTTGCAGCAAAGATGTGCACAAATGTGTTTGATGCAATTTCTCTTTAAGTATAAAAAGAAGAATTGCTTTGCTGAGCATGGGTGTGTACACAACTCATGATTATTCTTTTGTTCTGTGTGTCATGGAGGTGAATGAAAGCTGCTGATTGGGAGGGATCATTTCTACTTTCCAGGGTGGATCATCTTTTCTGGACAACAGTTCCTTCTGCCCCCCACTCCACAATTCTGGAATATTTAAATACTAGGGTGGAAGGAGATAGTCTGTCTTCTAACTGTCTGCGAAGTTAAGTGCAGGTATAGACAACATAGAAGTAGAAGAAGAGACTTATTGTGAAACTTTAAAAAAAAAGAAAACTAACCCTTTAATGGGCTGACTAGAGTTGATTTAACATTTCCTGTCAGAATGACCTTTTACTCCAGGTGAGATACTCAATGGAATGGGTTTCTCTTGTGTGAGGAATCAAAAACAGAGCCATTCAGCTTGAATACTTATATCCTTGGCGTAAATTGTTGCTTTAATTTGATGATTAGTGTTAAAGCTAACAGATCTGGGCTATAAAAGTTTGTTTGGTCACTAAATGGATGGGCGGAAAGACTCAGAATTTAATGCAACCATTGTTGTCCTCTAGTAGTCAAACAAATTTTTGCAGCTTGTTTGCAATCTCATGGTTTTCTAGCACCGGAACATCCAAAACTGTTCTGGATTTTGTTTTTTTCTGACTGAATCTGGTATTGTTTCATCCAGGTGAAGGCCAGTCTTGAATGGGTGACTGGAACTTTGGAAATGCAAAATTTTGTTTTGAATTTTCAGCAAAATATATTTTCTAGCTCATGGACACTTTAGCTATTAGTTCCTGTGGGGTGGTGATATGACTGGGGCCAGATGGAGCTAAGTTCAAGTAGTCCATCAATTGTCACACTCCCAGCCTAACAACATTGTTATTGTAAGGGTAAATATGAAGAGCGATGTCTCACACACTGCCTTTAACTCTTTAGAGTTAAAGCAGAATACATTAATAACAAAATAAAAATATTTGTAAATGTACAAAGATTCTAGAAATAAATACTTCAAATACTATAATAGTATGAAACATTTCCCTCAAATATTGAACAATTGAAATAAACTGTCTCTAAGACATTGATGCACCATCAGTGACACAACATTAACAACAGTTAAGATAGTGAAGTCTTCTATTTCACTGTACATTAGTTGTGTTTAAATCCCTGCCTCAAAAATACCTCCAGAGATAATTATGAGTCCTTTCATTTCCTACATTTTTTTAAAAAAAGAAATAATTTCCACTATCAAATATTAATGAATCCTTTCAAAAAAAAATTAATATTGATAACTACTGATAGGTGAATCCAACTGATTTCATTTATGATGTCCTTCTCATCACTAGCATATTGTGAAACTATGACCTTACATCTTAAAAGCCACTTGCTGAATCTGAGCAAAACACTGATGACAGTCAGAAAACAGGGAATGTTTTATGTTGTTTCTTTGACACAGTGTTCAACATATACACCAGACGTTTGCCTCTATTAACAGGGCATGTTAGATAAATATTGCTACATAAAACATAATGTTATCTTGATAAACTCATGTACTGTTTCATCAGTTAATTTGAATTTGATTTGCCTCACAAGACTTTGCAAA